ACCTGATTTTTTTTTTTTTTTTTTACAGTTTTTGGCCGGGGCTGGGTTTGAACCCACCACGTCCGGCATTATGGGGCCAGCCCCCTACTCCTTTGAGCCAGAGGTGCTGCCCTCAACCTGATTTTTAATCAGCTTTGTATTATAAAAATTTTCAAATTAGAAAAACTGAAAAGCATAATTGAAAATTCAATAATTAACATTTGACTGTGTGGGATTTTTTTTTTTTGCTCATTTGCATTGAAGAACTATTATGTGTGTTTTGAACAAATCAGTTGGTAACCTGTAATACTATGAAATTTTATTTCTATATCCTTTGGCATTTATGTGAGAATAAGGCCATTCTCCTTTATAATACCAACAGCATCTAGAAAGTTAACAATAACTCAAATACCGTTTATATAGCTCCCCCACCCCAATCAGATTACAATCAAGGTTAATGTATTTGACTGAGTATTCTCTTTAAATGTGGAAAAGTTCCCCCACAGTTTTGTTTTGTTAATAATAATGACTTTTTAAGAGACTAGGACGGTTGTTGCACAGAATGGCTATGTTGTGCATCTGTCTTCATTTTGTCCTTTATCCCCTATATTTCCTGTTACACATTGGACCATCCAAGGACATAATCTCTATACCTTTTTTTCTTTTCTATCTATATTCACTTCCTTGGTCTCCTCAAATAGTTTCATAGCTTTAAATACCATCTATCTACCTGGACTCAGAGCCTCATACCCAGAATCCTGGTGGGAAGCAAGGAGTTAAAGATAAGCCTAGGTAATACAGTAAGACCTTGTCTCTTAAAAAAACAAACCAAAAAAAAAAAAAAACACCCAGGCCAGGCACTGTGGTTTACACCTGAAATCCTGGTTCTCTGGGAGGCCAAGACCAGTGGAAGGCTTGAGCTCAGGAGTTTGAGACCAGCCTGATAAAGAACAAGACTCAGTCTCTACTAAAAATAGAAAAAAAAAAACTAGCTGAGCATTGTGGCAGGAGCCTGTAGTTCCAGCTACTTGGGAAGCTGGTACAGGAGGACTGCTTGAGCCCCAGAGTTTAAGGTTGCTATGAGCTATGACACCATGGAACTCTTGCCTGGGCAACAGAGTAAGACTCTGCGTCCACACACACACACAAAATGCCAGGCATCGTGGCTCACACCTGTAATCCTAGCTCTAGGAGGCCAAGGCAAGTGGAATGCCTGAGCTCACAGGTTCAAGACCAGCCTGAGCCAGAGCAAGACCCTGTCTCTAAAAATAGCCCGGCACTGCAATGGGCGCCTTAGTCCCAGTGACCTGAGAGGCTGAGGCAAGAGAATTACTTGAGCCAAAGAGTTTGAGGTTGCTATGAGCTGTGACACCATAGCACTCTACTGAGGGTGACAAAGTGAGACTCTGTCTCAAAAACAAACAAAACCACCAAAAACATCATCTATCCACTGACAATTCTCAGAGTATCCACAGATATCACAATCTTAAAACGTTCAAAATCAGCAATGCTCCTCTATTTCCCACCACACTTAAGAGCAATTCCATCTTCCTACTGCTTGGGCAAAAAACTTAGAAATCATCCTGATTCCCTTCTTTCTCTCATTCCACATCTGATCTGTTATAAATCAAAATGTAAATAAAGTCTGACTACTTTCATCCACTTCCACTACTGGAATATTCTTCTAAGTCCCCTACTTCTGGCCTTGGATACTTTCAGTCTATTCTTATCCAGTAGCCAGAGTGAACCTGTTGTAACCTAGATGAGCTAAAATTTCCTTACTGAAACCACTCCATGTTTTCCGATATCACCCAGAGGAAGAGCCAAACTCATCAAAATTAACTAAAAGACTAGATGGCTGGGCTTCCTGAACTCTCTGACATCACTTCCTTCTACTCTTTTCTAGTCACACTAGCCTCTTTGCTGTTCCTCTAACATGTCAGGGAAACTCCACCTCAAGGCCTTTGCACTTGCTTTTTTCATCTGCTTAGAAAGCTCATCTCCCACATAGCCACATAACTCTCACCTTCCACTCCATCAGGTCTTTTTTCAAAGGTCACCTATTCACAATAAGACTTTCCCTCACAATGCTAGGTATTAAACTGCAATACTACAGGTATTAAAATGCAACCCTTGGGCACATCAGAACCACCTTTTTGAATTTTGCGTAATTTTTCCCCACTTACCATAATTTAATACACTATACATTTTGTTCACTGTCTGTCTCTCCATACTCCATGAAGGCAAAAAATTTTTGCCAGTTTTATTAACTGCTACATCCCTAGTACATAGAAAATAGCTTGGTACATACATTGATTACATAAAAGAACTGAGAAGAAAGAATCAGAGTAAGAAAGGAGATAAAAAATTTTGGTCTTCATATTCCTTTTTTAAAAAGATTCAGGTATTTATATACATATTATTTTATCTTTAATTTGGTAAACCAGTAGGAATGATATGTCATTAGGAATCCAAGCAATAAAAAGATTACAACCTTTTAAAGTTCCTAGAATCTACAGTATTCTGTGAGTCTACATTTATAAACTGAATTTTTCTTTTGTTAAAATAAAAAATGGGTACATTTTAATTGTGCTTTCTAAAATCTTAGGTCACCTAATCCTTTTTTCCTATTTTGTTAGTTCTCTGTTCCCAGGAATTGTTCTAGCAGCCTGGCTTCATTTTAAGAAATTTCAGCAGCAAAGTATGAATGAAGCAGGTAAGAAAAACCAATAGTTATTAAATGACGGCATAAAACTTCTTCAATGTTGGCTCGGCACCAGCCACATACACCGGAGCTGGCGGGTTCAAATCCAGCCCAGGCCTGCCAAACAACGACAACTACAACCAAAAAAAAAAAAAAAAATTAGCCAAGTGTTGTGGCAGGTGCCTGTAGTCCCATCTACTTGGGAGGCTGAGGCAAGAGAATCACTTAAGCTCAAGCGTTTGAGGCTGCTATGAGCTGTGACGCCACGGCATTCTACCCATGGCGACAGCTTGAGAATTTTCTTCAGTGTATATACCATACACTTGAACACTCCATAACAAGCACCTTATTCTTTGTCTTTCAGTAAACAGATTTTTCAAATTAAATACTTCAAAGTTCAAAAGAAATCTTTATTTCTAACAGACGCCAGAATTCTTTTACACAGCACTTAACTCATTACCATGGCTACATTCTTAGCTATGCTCCCTACAGTTAAATTTCTGAAAATATCTCATATGAAATGACAAATGTACTATGTGATGAAGTTTCAAAGCCTCTTTCCAAGCCTCAGCATCCTCGCCAGTATTATTTGGCCCAGAAAGCTAGCTGTCATTAATATTAAACTAACACACAAACATACACATCCACCACCTTTTTTCAGTTCAACAAAGCAGCTGATTTTTAAGATATTTGTATCTAGATGCTCTAATCCTCAACTATACATGGCAGAAATGTATCTTCTTGAATCATTTTCCCCCTCCACAAACATCACACAATCCCTAACTTATGTAACACAATAAATGATGCAAATACAGTTTAACAATTAATAAGGTGGTTTTGGAGTCATATTTGAATTTAAATCTCAGTTCTCCCACAAATCTAGCTGTATTTCTATGGGTAAATTTCACGTATACGAATTCCCTAAGGTTAACAGGAGTCATTATGAGGATTAAATGAAACCCACAGGAATCAATAAGCATATTACAGGAAACTAGGTAAATACTCACTAAACATTAGCTATTATAATGTCTTAAAAAGTAACTCTAGAATAATCTCTAAACCTTTACAGTCTCTGTATATCCCAAATCTTTAATCTTTCCTTATCTTTATATAAATGAAGGTTCCTCTCTTTTTATCCTTCTTGCCTGGACTTACATTAAGATCTTGATAATTTTTAATCTGGATTATTGTAATTTGATTCTTACTGAATTACTTTCCTCTAGCACTTTTCCTACTCCTTTTCTTAACCTAATTCTGTAAGTTTTAAGACATTTCAAGGATCTTTGAATCATGTCCAAGATCTTATTTGCTACTTCAAAATTATAACAAGTATTTTTCAAGTATTCATTATCTGGCACTGGGCTAGGTCCTGGGGACATAACTGCAAACAAAACCAGCACAAAATCTGTCTGGTATAAACTTTACGGTGAAGAATTTGAATAACATTTCTACCTACATCCTATGTTTCATCTCATGAGTCAGTCTCTTTAGAGCAAACTGCATCACAGCACAAAGACAAGCCCAACACTGATAAAGTATCATCATTAAGTATTACGTTTGTAGTTATCTTCTGAAAAACAACCCTTTCTAGCTATGTAATCTTCAGGAAAGTTACTCATCTGTCCATATGTCTCACTAGTAAAATGGACATCATAATGTCACATCATAAATTACACACACAGAGATAATAAACATAATCTGCTTAGAACCATTTTTCCCACCTAATAGTAGCAATTTATTATTACTATTATTCCTCTCTCCAAACTTCTTCAAAGTGTTATCCTGTGGTCACAACACCCACTTCTAACTTGAAATGCCCAAGTCTTCTCTATTCCTTCAAGTCTTCCAGATTGATCAGAAGAGCTGTGAAAGACCCCTAATTCAACTCTATCAGGACATAAAACTCACTTAGAAGTTCTTTTAGTTCTATCCGGCCTAATTATACATTTTATTTGTTTCATGTTTATATAGTTAGTTAGTTGTGTTTGTCGCTATGCATTTTAAGGTCCTACAAAATAGATGTTTTAAATAATACAGCACCTACTTAGGACCAACACTTAAAGCTTATATACAATAAGGCAACTTAACATAAAATGAGATCACTACTGAACCAACTAAAACTGGGCTAAGTGAACTACATTTTTTTATTTAGCTAGAAGTATGAAAATCTATTTAGTTTCTAATAATTAGTCATTATATTAAATTTTATGAACTCTACATTTCTGCACAAGTCTACAGCACTGCAATTGACAAATATAGCTTCTAACCAATTTCACAGCACTACTCAGTGAGTAAACACAGTTTAAGTTTTACTTACTCAAATTCTGTAGCATAATATTTAAGAAAGCCCAGTAAGAGGTCCCCAAGATTTGATTCATTCTTTGAGAGGTAAGGAGGAACATTACATGGAGCTTGATGTACAAGGTGCAGCTGTATAGCAGGACTAAAAGACTCCTGTCAAAGAGAAAAATGTAAAAAATGTAAAGTCACTTAAAATCACACTAAGAAACTTCATGAATCCTGATCTAGGCAATAGGAAGAAGAGAGAAGAAATTTTCTACATTGGCAATTTGAAAACTTAAAGATTTTTTTCCATTAAAAATTTCACCATTATTTGCAATAGGCCAGAATATACCTGAAAAACTAAAATACTGTAATTCTTGCTTTGAGTATATCACTCAGTAAATCAAATAGATATGTTTGGTAGTAAAAGATTTTCTAACTCATAAATAAAAGTTCACTCCACATACCAAGATTCTACCCAGCAACATGTAGATTTCTTCACAAATGTATCTCATTTTTAATTATTTCTAAAAGGGCTTGTACTTTATGAAGGCTGTGTCATGTACAAGGTATGAGCATTTTCTAATTGCCTCTTAAACATCCCTCAAATGCCATAAAAGGAACTTTAATATATGAATAGTACTAATTTTAAGATTTTTTAAAATCTGGTTTTGTTTTTGTATTTTGTAACTTAAAAGAAAGAGAAAATAGATATTTAACATGAAATTAAATCTGAGTAGACAAAGAAGGCAGGGAAAAGAAGATAAGAAACATACCAACAAACCATTTTTAGCAAACTTTTACCATAACATTTATAAAAGAGAATATTATTTGCTTGTAGTACAGGCACAAAGACATTTAATAGAATGAATACTAGTAACTACTTATTCTTTACACTTATGCCACTCATTTTCATATCTGATGGCTCCTCTTTTAACAGCAAGTTAATTTTGTATATTTCTAGCTCTGAAACATATGAAATAAACTACACAGATTTTGAAGAAATATATATCCATTAAGTTAGAAAATAATCTTTCTAAAGTAATTTGCATAATACTATCACGAATGATTTTCTAGGCAAGGCATGGTGGCTCATGCCTGTAATCCTAGCACTCTGGGAGGCCGAAAGGCAGGTGGACTGCTGAAGCTCAGGAGTTTGAGATCAGCCTGAGCAAGAGTGAGACCCCACCTCTACCAAAAATAGATAAAATAGCCAGGGGTCATGGTGGGTGCCTGCAGTCTCATCTGCTCAGGAGGCTGAGACAAGAAGGACTGCTTGAGCCCAAGAGTTTAGGGTTACTGTGAGATGTGATGTCACAGCACTCTACAGGACAGGAGAGTGAGACTGTCTCAAAAAAAAAAAAAAAA